GCCGCCCCGTTCTCAGGCACTCAGGCGAGAGATGCCTCAGGTATGTGAGTGACTCCAGGTCACTGACTCTTGACCCCTGAAAGGTCACTTTTTAGTTTGATGTTTGCATTCAGCTAATTTTGCCTTTGTTTCACCTGTGAAGGTCTCCCCACACTACAAGTCACATCTAAGATCTCACACCTCGTCTGCACAGAGTCCTGTTGCATGTGCCAAAATCTGAGAGTCCCAGTGGGAAGCTCCTGCTTCTTATGCCACCTGTTATCACAAGACTGTCAATGATTGATCACATGATAACAACCACCAGACTACAAACACTCTGACTGAGCAGCTCCACCTTATGTTGCTACAAAAATCAGAAACGTTTCTACACGACGTATGAAGCTGAAAGCAAACTGAGATTTGTTCAGAAGAAAACGTGACAGATATGATCCCGTTTTACTCGTTTTAATATCCAGCACAGATCGTCCTCCATCTGTCCCGCTCTGGGATTAGTCAAAGTCAAATTAGTTAGAAAGCGACTGCATTTTGTGTTCGAGATGTCAACATGGTCATATGACTTCCATATTAATCCTCTACTTAAGTGCAGTCAAAGAGCAGGATGTGTTGAAATGCAAATCCTCAGTGAACCTGTAACAGGTCAAACTTTTCCACTGCACAGAGCACACACTCAGTTTCAGTAAAGGAAGAACTAGAAATGGACTAATACACAGTTAGGCTGATATTTGACCCGACGTCAAGCATTTAAATATTTTATTTGTAAATTTTACCTACAATTTTTGTACTTGAAGAAGATTGTCTAAACAACAGCTGGAGCCATTTTCAAGAGGCTCCCTTTTAGGTTAAAAGCTACAGAAAGTGCACAACAAAAACCTGAATGGCTAAGAAGTTGAATGTCTACACATTTCTCACCTGCATTTATCTCCATCTTGACTAGAAATCACTTCCTGAAGCTGTTTCCAGCTCCAAGACTGACACCAACACCAGCTAGGCGGCTAACAGAGGCAGATATGTACCAGCACATGTTTTTCAGAACATTTTTCTGGTTTTCCGCCTTTATGTTGCAGATTAGCATCCGCATGGACACTCACACTTTCAAGTCACTTCCTGTTTTATTTTGAAAGTCAGTTGACTTCCCTCCTTAAATGGTTCATTCCTTAAAAGTTCACCTGTTCCTGGCTATCCTCCCCCTGGTGTGTATTTATGTTACAACGTCATCTCTCTTCAGTTCTGTTCTTTTGTTAACTTTGTTAACTAATTTTTCTGTACAAAGTATTTTGTTAAAAATCAGATTAAAGTTTTTTGTTTGTTTTTCCTGCTAAGACTGTGAGCTGGGACTGGCGAGATGCAACCATTTGCAGTATGTTCCCTGGGACACAATAGAAAAAAATGTGCAGTAAACAGAGAACTCGAAGAACCAGAGAAGCAAAGCCGCAACAGAGGTGCCTTAAACCTGCTTTCTTTGTAACAGCCAGTAGGGGGCGACTCCTTTGATTTGACTGTAAATGACATTAAAGTACAGAAAAGACTTCCACACTAAGCTTAAATCTTAAATTTACCTTTTTTATTTTGATTTTAGTCCTGTTAATATGCTAATAACAAAACCCAGTTCTGTAAATTTAAATTGTTGGTCACATTTATTTAATTTTTTTAAATAAAGTAAGTAAATCAGTGTTTAACTCTGTGTGTTGCCTCACACTTCATGACCGGTTCCCAGTCTCTTCCTTAGTGAGTAATACAGCTTACCAGTATATTTAACACTGGTACTGGATCAGGATTTGATATTAAAAAATGACCAAAGACGAGGTCTCAGAATCGTACTGGATCTAGAAAAAGCTGCTAACTCTGAAAAACTCTTCATGGCAAGAACTGGAACTGTGCGCTAAAACATTTCTGCTGTTATTTTTAATGCTGATCCTGCAGGAACTTTGAATTAAAACACAAATGATAAACAGAAATCCTGGATTTCTTTTTTTTTTTATTTCTTTAGTTTTATTTTCAGACTTTGTGTCAAAAATGTAAAATGAGTGACACCTGTGAAAACGTCTGCTTAAAGGTTATTTTGTAAGGGACAGCAGGGACGTCCTTGAATGGCAAACGTCTTTATGTCCCTCGACCTTACACTCTTTTTCTCACATTCTCCTTAAACGTCTTTCTTTGCCTGCGTCCCTCTCTAAATGACTGCCTCCAACACTGCCTTTAGTTCTATTATAACCCAGACTTTCAGGTAGCATTTGGTCCAGCCTGCTCTCTCTTTCTGAACCAAACTCTCCTCATTGTTGAGCTCTTATAATAAAGTTGGATCCACATATTTTCTTCTTACTTCTACAATCAAAAACTGTTTATCTGCTGCTGATTCCTAAAACAAGAGTCTTTTGTGATGAAAGACGAGGAGCTAATATTATGTGCGCTGCTGCCTACATGCTGTTGTGTCATCTGATCCCTCACAGGACTGACAGTGAATGCATGAGGCTGCTGAACATATTTTAATAATTTATCACCATTATGCAAGCGACTATTACAGAGGTGTTACCAGCAAATGCACAAATTAACGATGTGGTTTTACACCGGAATTTAAGAGCAAAGAAGGTCCAAAACATTCCTGTTACAGCCATTATTCATCATATCATTGAGCCATTCGAGCACTTATTTAAAAGGAAGTCTGCGCTTGTTAACAGCTGGTTGTCACAATATTTCTGGATCTGTAATTGTGACACTTTAACAATTTTATTTACAAAAATATAGAGAGAAAAACAACTGAAGTGAGCTGACCGATGACATTAAAAAACTAAACTGTGTTTATAGCAAGCTGGGTTTAATCTAAATTAACAGAAATATATTAATTTGTTTGTTTGTTTTAGATAAATTTAAATAACAGAGGAAATAAATTTGGTAAATTAAACGGAACACCCACACATTTGGTCTCTACAACGGTGTATCACAGCTTTTGTCACTAGACCATCTTAAATAACCCACACTAGCGTTGCACTCATTATAAGGTAGTTATATATAATGATCCAGTGTTTTTGGAAGCATGAAGCTTAAAAGTGTTGACCCACCTCCAGTTTACACGCATTTCTGTGTGTTAAACTGAATGTTTTCATCATTTTGTTTAACGTCTGATTTGTCCCCAAAGAAAAGTTCCCACCTTGTCCAGGCAGCTGACTTTCTCCGTCGGGTACACGATCTTGCCACAGCGGGCACACGGGGGGTTCATCTCCAGACCTCCGCTGCGCTCTCCTCCAAAGCTTAAATTCCGCTTGTTTACGCCGGGATGAAATGTTGTAAAACGAAGATCCGAAGCTCCAAAAAGGCCAAAGTTCTGTCTGCGAGGCTGTAAACTCAGTGAACAAGCTGAACGACAGAGAGCGGCTCTGCTCTTCCTCTCACAGGCGCACCGTCCGGTGTGAAGGCTGGATGCTGAGCTGGGACCGATCACTCAATCTGAGAGCGCAAGCCAGCTGCAGTCAGCGCGCACACAGGAAGCGGGTTTACGATCCTTTCAAAGTCAAAGACACCGTTATAAAAGTGACGCCAGGGCGGAAGTGCCTAAATTTATATTCAGTTTTTTATATATTGCACTAAATTGCAAAAACAGTCGGCTCGAGGCGCTTTATACTGTA